CAATCCAAAGAGAACCCAGTGGAGGCAAGGTGAGGGTGATTATGGCAACATGGAGGTGTGGTGAAAGCCATACCAGCTCTTTTGATGACTCTATTACACAGTCTCATAATTCAGAGAAAACATGCAATTCAGGACTGATTTTAGACTCACTGATTTTTCCTTGGAGGTTTGAATACAGAAGAGACACAGCCAGATTTGGAGTTAGGGTCTGCCCAGCAGGCTGTGAAAAGGGGCAGCCCATCTTTTCCATTGTTTTCTCACCTGTGATCAGGTGAATGCAATGAGCCACAGTGTTTGATGTATGCTGCAGTCAGAGCTCTGCAAGAGCTTGACTCTGCTGCACAGCAGCTTCTCTCTGAACAAGTGTGTAAAACACACTGGTTCCCAAGAGGAATTTGAGGGGGGAAAAAAAGAAAAAGGGTATAAGAAAAAAAAGGCAAAAAAAAAAAAAGAAAAAAGCAAACAAAAGCACCTCAAAAAACAAACAAAACCCACACACACATTCAAAAGTCTTAAGCCAGTCTGACATTTTTGTATTGAGGGAAGAGGATCTTGGGGATTTCATATGCTGCAACACCAAGCCAGGGAGCAGCCAGAAGCCCTTCATTGGTGCAGGGCTGGGCTGGCAGCTGATTGAAATCACTTGGTTCACTGTTTAAAGAAAGACTTGAAAGGCTCCACCACGGAGGAAGAAAAACACAAAAGTACTGGTATGAGGAGCTGGCTGAAGAGGCAGAGACAGGCTGCAAGCTGGGGTTTAGCAGGTGAAGCCTATTAAATGGGCAGATCAATCAATACCCCTTTTAATGGGAGGGATCAATCTTTTTCTCTGCAAGAGAAATGAAGCTGTTGAAGTTTATAGAGCACAGGTCTGATGAGGAGTGGCTGAGGGAAGTGGGGTTGTTTAACCTGGAGAAAACATGGCTGAGGAGAGATCTTATTGATCTGTGAAAGAAGGTTGTAGTGAGGTAGGGGTCAGTCTCTTTTCTCAAGCAGCAAGCAATAGGACAAGGGGAAATAACCTCAAGATACACCAGGGGAGGTTTAGTTTGGATATCAGAAAGAATTTATTGACCAAAAAGAAAGCACCAGATCAGGCTGTCCAGGGAAGTGGTGGAGTCACCACCCCTGGAGGTACTTCATCATTGTGTAGATGTCACACTGGGGACATGTGTAGTAGTGGACTTGGAAATGCAAAGAATTCTATGCTTTTGTGAATCTGTGGCTTACTGCTACCCCAGCTCCCTTCTATTCACTTCCTATAACCAGGTAAGTCCAGAAGAGCTGGACTGTGGGAGGCTGGATCTGGCCTAGAAAACTTGCCCGGGAGCAGTCTCCTGCAGGGCTGTGCTGGCTGTGGCAGGGTCCCCACTCCATCCCAGTCCAGCCCCAGCTCAGAACTGGGGCTCTGCAGTGTCCACATTACTTGGGGCAGGGAGGAGGAAAGTTAAGGTCAGCCATGCTGGTGTAACTTGTTAAAAAGCTGTCCTGTTAGACAGCAGGGCTAGGTACAACAACTGGTTTTCATAGAAATCAAGTGAAAGTGAGACATCCTTGTGATTTGTACCTGAATTTGAGGAGACCACTCTCTTGTTTCCCACAAGAGTCAAGGACTTCTTTCAGTAAGCAGATGTGGCCTCTCCCAATGGGGTATTAGCTCCAGCCCTGCCATGTTGCTTCAGAAATGTTCCTAATGATGTTTTGTAAGGATCCTTGTCCACTGGCAAGCAGAAAGCCCGTAAGCCCTTTAGAGACTGCCTTTCAACAGTGGCTCATTCTCTACCTACTTAGCTTGGAAAGCTCCCGGGCACAGGCCAGCGTGTCCGCCTGCTTGCACAGCCCCCACAGAAACGTGCAGTGCTCTAGACATGGTTTTTATTCAGAGTCATGAAAATAGCCCATCCAGTCAGACAGGCACAGCTTTGTATTGTTAGAAGCTGGTTCCACTGGGAAATTTTTGAATTCAGATTGCCCAACTCTAGCTCGGCAGGGCTGGGTGCCAAGGTATTTGGGCACAAAACGGTCAAGTGAGGTTTCATTCTTTTTTTGTAGACAGACAATATTTTTATGCCCCGTCATGGCTGGGCAATCAAAACAGCAATTAGGTTGCATCAGCAGATGTGCTCGCTTTTAGTGACTGTCGGCCTCAGCAGCACACAAGCTATATTCTGTTTGGTACAAAGATCTTTTCATTTCCAAATAAAACTTGGACCTTTACAGTGCTTTGTCAACCATCTGAAAAGCTGAGCAGGGGTGGCATTTGCTTTTAGCACTCTCAGCCTAGAAAAGTGCAGATGTTTATCTATAGAACTGCTGTAAGGTGAGCAGGAAATGGAGACCTTGAACCTGCTCGGCAAAGGCAGAGCACAGCGTGTGCCCTTGCTCACAGCCCTGGGTAGGAACAATAGTGCAGATTCTGTTTCCACATCAGCAGAAAACCAGCCCAGCTTCCTAGGTCTGGCCAGCACAGCTCTGTTTTGTTACTCTTTCTCCTGGTGTGGTCTGGCACAAATTTGAGCAGCTGTTCTGAGAATCACCTCATGCCCCTCTGTGACTGGGGGCAGTGATGGTGCTGCAAAACAAGTAACCTGCCATGAGCCCTCCAAATCCACAGAGAGGAATGGTGACTCGCATGGCCCTGAGCCTCTGAAACAGAAGGGATAAACCATCTGCTGAGTACTCCTGCTTCTGCAGGTGACCAGAGGAGATGGGCCACCAAAATGCATCACTTGTCTTACAGATTACCAAAACTGGATGCCATGAATCCTATCTTCTATTCATACAGAGCATCTGCACCCATAATTTCTCAATCATCTTGCATTCCCAAATCCACCAAGCAGCAATGAAACTCGCTGGTACCTGCCACTTTGGAAAGCTAACTCTGAGCCATGCCTCAAGTTTCACAGGAAATTTTGCAGGTTGGAGCAACTAGGGGATTAAGAGCAATAATGCACATTAATTTCACTCACATTAACTGAGATGCAGTAATAAGGAAGTCTAGGAGAGAGATTTGTCTCCTGCTGGCTCAGGTCATCATGGGTGCAGCCACTGCCCATCCTGGCACCAAGGGAGCACAGGAACATCCACCAAGCGACACAGGCACCTCGTTTTACAGCTCACCACCCTGGAAACATGGGGCAAGGAGGCAGTGCAGGAAAAATCTTGGCTTTGGAAAGCACATAGTAAAATGGGGCTCCATTTCCATTTGAGCTTCTTTGGCATTATTAGAACATGAACAGATTTAACAGCATGGCCATCTTTGGGTTTTCTGTAGGTTGCTTGTGAGGGAAACAGTTTCACCTCTTCATGTTATGTCATTTCTAATAATGTTTGAAATTAAGATGGAACACTTTTTTTTTTTCATATTGATTTACTTCTGTTATATTCACTTTATTATTTTTCTACATCTCTCTTCTCCCAGGTCTGTGTATGTGTTTGAGGTGAGGATGGTCAGCTTGTACAAATCACATCCCTCACTGGATGCTAATGGGACTGGCTCAAAAATTAATTTCAAATCTGAGGTCTGAAACAAGGCAAGGTAAAGCCACCTGAAAGTTTCCTACTGACTTTAGAAGAACGCTGGATACTTCTCACATGTAAGAAACAAAATTCTGAGCCTTCCAGCTTTGGCCTTGGCCCATGAGTTAGTCACTGCCAGTTGCAGTGGCCAAAGCACCAGCTTTGGGGCGAACATGGGACAAACTGGATAAAGGGTTCATGAATGCTGAGAGGGCAGGGACTTCACTTGAAGATGAGGGCCCTAAGCTAGGGATAATGGAGTGGCTGTGATGTATGGGCCCAGCACTGAGAGCTAAAAGGCTCCAAGGGAGCCAAAAGGACTTTCTCACACATGTGGCCATTGCAAGTAGATTTCATCAGATGCAATTTAAAAGATATCAAGCTCTTTCCTAATATCATTTGTCTTTATAAATAACTACTGCAGCTGACAAAGGGCTGTTCTGGGATCTCAAAAAAGACAGGAACTAGAACTCAGAGCTGGAAATGGGAGGACAGACTTGAGACAGCAGTAAGGTTGGCTGTCTGGGGGCCCCCTTAGGCTCCTGCAGCACCCTGAATGCTCACCACCTCCTGCAGGGCTGGGGCAGTCAGCCCAGGTGCAGGGGCTTGGCTGGAGATCTTCCATTTATTAAATGGATGGAGGATTTCAGCTGTTCAGCCCCCCTTGTGACTCACTGCTGTCCATCCCATGTTAGTGCGCTGTATATCTGTAAAAACCCACACCACCCACCTCCCCTTCATGAGACTGTGTGACCTCCTACTGAAGTCAGGCCACCAAGGCTCAGGCCAGTAAGTGACAGCCAACACAGCTGCACTGCCCTGTGGCTCCTGATTTCTCCTGCCTGTGCCAAGACAGGACTCACCAACACCAAGACCGGGGTTGCCTCCCTGGCCTGGACTTATGGCTGGAGCATGGCTACCCAGGGTGACCTCAAGTGTCTAACTGAGCTTAGGTGAGCTGAATAATGCCCAAGAGCTGTCCATGAGCCTGTGCAAACACACACTGAACTCCTGAGAGGAAAATGTTTGTTCATTCCTTGATCCCTTATCTGGGGCACTGCTAAAACAGGCCAAGGAATTTGGCTCAATAGTAATGGGCAAGGGAAGGAGATCAGCTCTGTGTGCCAAACAGGGGTTCTCAATGCAGTAGCATTTTGAAACAGGTGGCAAAAGGAGGGTATGAACTGAAAAGGAAGATGCAGTTTGGTTTGAAAGAAAGGCTGAGGCATTATTTTTTAATATGGATTCAGTTTTGAAGTTGCCTAAGCACCATTTTTTTTATCCTACCTCATTATTGTGTGATGGGCAAATGCAGAGAGTAAGCAGGGGGCCTGCAGCACTCTAAGTACGTTTGTGCCCCTCACCACGGTCTGTGTATCAACAGCTACAGCAGAAGTGACCAGATGCCAACCAGAGCAGCAAAGTGCTGCTGTTGCATACATTCAATAAAAGCAGACATTTGAACACCATATTCCATCGTGGATTTTCCAAATAAGGTTTACATCCAAGGACCTGCTTTATTTGCAATAACTAAGCAGAAACATGAACAAGAAGGGCTTCTCATAGCAGTGGTTGTTACAAAAGTACTGCTGTTCAAAATCTCCATTTCACTTGTTGATACCATCCCTTTAGGTGCTGATTTTGCATTATCACTGGTATATCCTGTGTGATACCCTCAACTAAAAAAGAGTCTATGCTGGCAATTGATTTGTCTGCTGGTGGGAGAGAGCTCCCAGTACAACCTAAGTAAGAGTACAGTCAAATCAAGTTGTTTCTAGAGTGCACCACTTTAGAAAGACAGATTCAAAAGTTCAGTTCTCAGCTGTGCCCATGACCTGTGCTGTGACCTGTGCCAGTCACTTCATCTTCTCATGCTTCCTTTTCCATTCCAACCTTTCTGCATTTATCTCTACAGCTTGTGAGCTGGGCAGATGAGTTTCATTGTGTTTGTACAATGCATAGTAAACCAGAGCTGTCAGCCTGATTTGTGCCTCTTGGCACTGCCAGTGTTACCAGTTCTTGGGGATTTACTGAAGGTCTGCATGTTTGGAGGCTGTAATGAAATATCCTTTCTTGGGATGTTGCACTAAATTAATTTTTCATTTAAAAGAAAAGTAGATTTTCAGTCAAGCTTGAAAATGCATACACTAGTTATTCATACTTGAGAATATATGCAGAGGTGAGATGGGGTTATTTTTAACATTTGGTGTTAGCAGAATGGCAGTAGCACAGAAAGAGCACAAATGACACAGCCACAACAGTAAAAGCAGTGGAGAGTCAAACTGTTGCTGTTGCAAAGGCACTAGACAAGCAAACATTTAATTACTGTGTTTTAAGAGTATGGAAAAGCAGTTAATTTACCAGGAGTTACATAATATATCTGCATATTCTGTTTACAAAGGAGGATGCTGCCCTTCAAAGGCTGTGGGGCTGTCAGTGGGGATTTTCACCCTTTCCATCAGGCCAGCCCCACGTTTCTCCGCACTCTGCCGCACACGATGCTGGCGGCCCAGCACTCCTCCCCTCCTCCAAACAGCACTGCTGAGCCAAAATCTGCCTGCTCCCTATGTGCTGCTCAGGGCAGCCCTCCAGGCTGTAAGAAAAGGGGCTGGCAAGGAGGAAACATAGAATTTCCATCTTATTGTTGTTGATTCCATGGCTAGCTTCTTATGGAGTGTGGTGTCCTACTAGCCTGCTGCTAACATGGGGATAATGGGTCATTATTCTGCCCATAACAATGTGCATCTTTATTTAATTCTCCTCCTAGAACCCTGGTTGCCAGCAGGTGATGCAGATGGCCCAGGGTGGGTGACAAGGAGTGACCACCACGCAGCTGGGGTCAGTTCTGGGGCCCTTGGAGGGTCACGTACGCCATGCCAGCAAGGTGACAGTACCCAAAAGCCACCTCACACACGGACCTTTTGGAGAGGTTCTGGGGAGGGAATCACCACCCCCAAGGGCTGAGCACAGTGCAATGCACTGGGGAGAGGTGGGATGCCCAGGGGCAGAGCTCCAGTCCACAGCAAGATGCCTCCCATTTGTTCATTTGCATGAATAAAATGCCAAAGTGGGTTTCTGGAATCGCCCCTCCCAAGGTGAGAGGTGAAATTACTTGCTGTAGGGTCCTGGAACCTGTGGTAAAGTCCAGCCTTCAGGCAGATTTGTGAAGCAAGAGAGGAGATGAGACCTTCCTCAGATCTTATCCACTTACATATTACACCTTGAGCCTGCAGAGAGAAAAAAAAAATTAACTTACAAATAATTTTATAAACTTAATCTTAAGGTAAGTAAGCAGTTCAATAAATTTAGTCTTGAGGCAAGCAAGTACCTTTGGTAGCTTTGTGCTCAGACCCATCTTAGCTTGGTAGTTCCTGAGTTTCCCATTTTATCTGATGCTGAGGAGGTGCCCAGTGCAGCTCCACCATGCCAGCCACAGCTGCGCTGTGCTGTGCTCACAAAGGGCACCTGCTCAGTCCCAGCGCTGCTGCAACCTGGCATCAGCCTCGCTGGGCTGTGTGCTGCCTACAAACCATTACATGCAATAACAAGTAAAGGACTGCTCGAACCTTAGCACAAAGAAGCAAAAAACCAAAACAATAAATGCATTTTCCACAAGGGCAGAGACAGCAGCCTTTGAATGGGAATTGCTGGATCGGCTTATGACTCAGCTGGCTGCTCCCAGAGCATGCTCAGCCTGGGATGGCAACTGAGGCTCTGTTGGCTTGGTTGGATTCTAGGTGAAACGCTCGCAGAGATGCAATGCAAAGGTGTGGGACATGGCAGAGACATCTGCAGCACTGGTGGGCAGTGGGGTGTGTTGCCCACACAACCTCCCCCAAGTGATGTGGTCACCCCAATCCCTCCAGAGGAGGCCGAGGGTGAAGTGGCGGGCGAGGGCTCGGCATGGCGGGGTGACACGCACAGCGCTGGCGGGATGCGTTTCACCACTCGGGTCAAGCCCTGCTCTTGGAGTGGGAGGAGGGAACCAGCCCAGGCGCCAAAATGTCTGTGACTCTGCTTAGATCATAGTTATAATGTTTTTCTGCATACAGATCTACGTAAGTAGAAAGAAACCATTCATCTCAGCTGGGAGGACTGGCAGTCTTTGGAGTCACCCTGTCCACTGATATCCAGCCACCTTATTTTTTGCCCACTCTTTGATTTCTGCCCTCCTCCCCCCACCAGCACTGTTCTCAGGGCATCGTCTTCATGAAACGGCCTTTTGTTCCTAGGTGCCTGAAGCCAACGCGCCTCTTTGACTGGCTGCCTCATTTCACACCGACACCCTTAACTGCTGGTTTCATCTTCCTGGTAGCGATTGTCTCAGATGGAGTTTCAGTATCACTGTTTCTCATCTGCGGCTCCAGAGTCCCATTTTCACCAGCAAAAAGCCAAAAGCCTTGCACTTGCTTGACCTCTGCAATTACCGTCAGGACTCTTGCTTCACAGCGCTGCAGCCTCTGGCCATGAGGAACCTTTGGAGCTGGGGCCATTTGGATAAGCCACAGGAGACCTAGAAACAGCAAAGTTTGCTTAAAATGTCTGGTTCTTCCTGCAGTTTCTTTCAAATTCACTGCTGTGACCTCGCTTGCTGTGAAGTACAGTTTTGATTACAGAGTCATTTGAATGCTGCCTGTGATGGCAGAGTGCCTGTCCTGACCTCTGGAGGGTCTTCCTGTTTTCAACTTTTTAGCTTCTTAATCAAAGAGGAAAGTTGCTAATCACCCCAGGCTGCAAGTCTGCCGTGGGTCTTCATGTACAGAAATGCAAAAGAGAGCCTTAAACACAAATATTTGAGGATTTCTTCCTTCCAATGCATATTTGTGCAAGAACTTTATGCAAATCTCCTGGTGCTGCTCAGGATATTCTCCTAGTGCACACTACCTTTGGTTTTCATTATACCATGAGCAACTGACTTCAGCCAGCAGTTTTTAGTAGCTCTTCAGCAAACCCCAAACCTTTGCCAATACCTTCAGTGGTGTGAGGAGCACACAGCATGCAACCTCTTCTTAGGCGATGGAGAGCAAGGCATGGTAAAACAACAGATTGTGGGGAAAAATGGCAAGCCCACCACGTGCCCATAATGCTGCTGCACAGAGCAGGTCCATTTCTGATTTCAGTTGCAGTGCATGGGAGTTGGGGGTGGAAACCCCCTGTCACACCATTGCTGTGCTGCAGGGGTGTTCAGGTCCAAATGTAAACTTTGCAGATCAGTAAAACACGCAAAAAAATGGTGGCCGTTGCAGTTCTCATGGGAAGTGTGGCATTGGAATAGATCGCCTTAACTCCAAGTCCCCGAGAAATTTTGCAGCAGTTAGGCAAGGCATGCAGGAAAACTCAGAGGCCCAGGACCCACCAGCCTTCCTATGGGCTCTTCTCAGATAGGTATTTGTGCTGTCAAGGAACAGGATGTGATGGGATTAAGGCTCATGGTGCTGCTCACGGGCTCTGCTCAAGGGCTGGGAGAGGAGCAGGCATTCAATCCGGAGCTGGGGAAGCTAACAGGCTCTGCTCATGAATCACCCCCAGCACACCACTGTCCTGTGTGTCACTGCAAATCCCAGGAAACACAAGATTGTCAGTCTGGACACCGTGCTCCAGCACAGCCCATGACCATGCCTTGGATTCCTCAAGATCAGAAGTATTCTGCTCTTCTGACAGCATCCCAGCTTTCAGGGATAGATGCAACCATGGTACTGAGGGGGAGAGAGAAGCTGCTGCTCAGCTTTTTCCCTGCACTAACCAGTGGCAGCTAATTAGACGGCAAATGTCCCCCCATGCCTTTTGGCCTAGGAAACCCCAACCTGGCTAATCATTTTAGCATCAACTGTGAGAAAACTTTGGATAGCAGAAGAAAATTATTTCACATTAAAACCATCACACTGCCTTTCTTGGTGAGGAGAATAAAACTTCCGTCTATCGCTCAGACAACTTCAGACATGCTGTGCATAATCTGTTGGGTTCTTCCCCTTCATGCTATTATCAAGAATTCGGCAGCCACATCAGTTTTGCCTTCAGTATGAGTACTTTCCTGTTTCACTTTCTCTGCATCTTATCAAGTACAGACACTGTTCTTTGACAACTCCACAAATAACTGCTGTTTCTGGACTTTTATTTTCACTGTTTATCAAGCATCTTACAGGAGTCGATCTCCATATACTTCAGGAAGCTCTGGAAAGGAATATCTGGAGGCAGATGTCTGATTCTCCAGTACCTCGTGCTGCCATTCATAATAACATAAAGCTTAAAGGCCTGCAAAGCAATTTGAGGTGTGGGAAAGCAGAATCCAGTTTCACAGAATTACAAATCCTGTCTGCTTTTCATGATGAAGTTGTATGTTGGTGGGCCTTGTGTCTCTAGAAAATAATTTTCACACAGAAGACACAAGAAGTCTGTAGCAGTCCCAGAAGGCAGCAGTCAGCTGTCCCAGCCCCTTGTGCCTTGTTTTAACTGTGAGTCTCATGCAAGGAGATAGTGGAGACTCAGCCTCAGGTACCAGGTGGCTTGGGAAGATGACAAACTTTTTAGCATTTAGGATTTTCACTGCTGCCACAGTGCCCAGGTGCCCACCCCAGACAGGTGCCTGCAAAGCAGCTGAGCAGCCTCCTCTTTTGTTTCTGAATAATCTCTCATGAACATCATCCCAGTGGGGAAAAGGAAAACATGCTACAGATAGAGCATGCCTTGATTATTTTATTAATCAAACAATATTTTTTCCATATTAAATGCCTTTTTCATATTAAATGCCAGCTTCTCTGCTTTGGGATGGCTAGCTACAGGTATGCAAACCCAAAGACATGATTTATTCACTTGTGACCCTCTCTCCCACCCACAGCCAAACAAATTGGCGATGCTCTAACAACAGCTGCACGTGGCAGCTCAGAACACTACCAAGAAAATTACCTGGCACAGTTGCAAGTTGTTCACCACACTGACAAACAGTTACCAACCACTTTCTTCTGCTCTCCAAGCTTAATCATGTTGCAGACAGCGCTTGGAAACCACATCCTTCTGTTGCAGAATGACTTGTCGCCACTGCTTACAACACACACTTTCTGATTAAATACATGATTGCAATGTTCCATCGCAGAGAGAAGTCACTGTGGATGCTCAGAGGATCCCCAGTCTGCACAGAAGATGCTTTGCCCACCAGCTGCAGAAACTTGCTTCAGGCACCAGGACCCCCTTTGCCTTTAGCCAAGTGCTGTCCTCATCCAATAGTGGACTGCTTGGCACTCTTTCTCCAGCGCTTGTGGCTCACACGTTACTTGCTCGACAGCACATGGCTGCTACTTTACTCAAAGCAAATCTAACAGTCCTGCCAGGGATGTAAGGGAAGAAAAATTCACTTCTCATAAACTGACTAGAAAGAGGCAAATTCTCTGCCTACCAGCAGGAATGTGCCTATGAATAGCCACTGTGTAAACACAGATTGCATATTGGAGAATGACATCGAGTGTAGTTACCGCCAGCCATCTCTTCCTGAAATTCAATAGACATTGATATTTATACCCAGCCTTTGAGGTTTAGCATGCTTCAGCACAAATATACATTTATTAATACCACATAACACCAGGCCTTTATTGACTCTCATTTGAGTCCTATGCCACTCACAGATAAACATTTTTTCCAGGACTGTCATGCCTGAAATAAGTTAAGCCAAGAGTGAATGATCTTTCAACAGAGTAAGTAATACATTTAAGGCCACATTCAGCATTATTTTCCTTACTTCCCTTCACCAAAGTGGTATTTATAGAGAGGGCTGCATTCTGCTCAGCAGTAGATTAATGCTAATGATATATGACTCCAGCAGTTATAGCAGAGTTGATCTGAACATATATTGACAAAACAAGGAGTGGGAATTTGGCCTAATATTCTCAGAACAGGAGTAGTAGGACTGGGACTGGCGTTATGCCAGGGAGGAATTTGGTCCATACTCTTTTTGAAACAAGGGAGCCAAATAATGCAAAAAAGAAAACTGCTCTGAAGTCTGTTTACAAGAAAATCCGTGCTCTCCAGTGATTTAGAGTCCAGCTAGAGGAAGGTTAAGTTCAAAAGCAATACAACCTGACTAAAATAAGTTATTTCTCCCTGTAAAATGACCTTTTAATAGAAATAAGGACAAATAAAATTCTTAAGACATGACCTTGCTGTGGAAATAGAAACCTTTTATGTTTTCCATCTCAAACCCTGTGCTATACAAAGACATCACTTCACCTATAAAGCA